AATGTACAACACCAAAGGCATGGAAAACTTTTATTCCCATTTAAGAGCTTGAAAAGATTAATCAGTGTGGACTTTTATTATATGGACAACACAGCAACAACAAAATATCAATAACTGCCACACATGTTTGGAACATCTTAAAGTTCAGTAAACAATTGCATTTTTTTTGCTTGACATACTCCTCTTAGGAAAGTAAAAAATTTTACAGGCCTACAAAAATGATAAACATTAGATTTTTTCTTACCTATAAATCCATTGGAGTGTTCATTCAACATGAAGAAAAAAAATTAGTTAATTAGACGCATATCTTCAGAAAGCACATATAATAACTACATGTACAGAATGCACAGTATATTACACAAATCTTATCAACATGCTATATATTAACAACATTGTAAAACATTCACTACTTTACCCAAAATACTTCACTGTTGGCTATATTATTGCAATATAAAAAAGTAACATCGTACCTCAAATCACATTTCTGCCAATCTTCTGCAACACAAAACTGTGAAAAAAATTAAATAACATATAAACAATTACATTTAACAAAAACATATAGACTTCACACTACATTTCAAGGTTTTTCCAGCATTGACTATTATGAAACGGCCACCTCCGGCTGGCCTGTGGACAAAACTCAGGCATACAATCACGTGCAATCTTCACTAAACATGGTCAATTACGGCTTTTAGTCAAAACTGCATATTAGGAGAGATGCTGATGTTATTACATGTTTACTTTGTTTGTTTAGACGAAATTTAATTCTATTCTTTATCCACTGAATTATGTGATCTGATGAGCATCACTGGTTTACATCGCTGTATCAAGTATGTTTTCGCGATCGCTCATGTGACACACCTGACAATCATGTTACACGTTACTTACCCGCCCTGACACAAGCTGTGGCAGCTGCCACGAACTCTGGCAGCTGCTGTGGCATCTGGGGATGTCACCGGAAGTGGCACTGCGACCTGCCGCTGCCAGAGAGAGTGCCAGCTCTTGCTGGAAGAGACAGGGCGGGTAAGTAACTTGTAACATGATTGTCAGATGTGTCACATGAGCGATCACGAAAACATACTTGATACAGCGATGTAAACCAGTGATGCTCATCAGATCACATAATTCAGTGGATAAAGAATAGAATCTTTCCACAGTCTTTCTCGCCGTTTTTGCTGTTTGCTCACTAAAACTACACTGTTCTCAGTGGTGTGCGGTGATGTTTTTTTTATATGATGATGCAAAGTTCCCACAATTGTATTATTATTATTATACATTTTTATGTATCAGCTGCCAGAGTTCGTGCCAGGAGTCACGATCGTTTGTCGCCGTTTCTGCTGTAAACTACACTCTTTTTTTTTTAAATAAAATATTTGATGATGCATATTATATACCAGCAAGCAGGTGCGATCAGAATATGAACCCAGTAAGCTAAATTGCATAAGCATTTTCCCATAAAGAACATACACACACATAAGGAGTGCCAGCTGCCGCTAGCCAATACTGTATATACGCGCACACACAAACATTTATTTATTTAATGTAACACTTTAGTTATTAACTAGTTGCTTGCATATTACTATATCAGCTGTTTATTAGTACTCATAAAGCACATACTAATGCCTTATTATGCGTGACCCTATTCTACATATTACCCTATACGCCCCCACACCACACACACTTTTAATAACACGTAAATTCGTCCCCCGCACTTTTTTAGGGCAAGTGTGTTATAGAGGTTTTAAAGGGCCGGTGTGAAAGAATATAGATTTAAATTCAAAGAGACAAGATAGTCTGTGCATGACCTAATGTTTTATTAGTACCCAGAATGAGGTGAGATGAACATCACGGAGCGTGTTTCTTTCATACTCGAAGCCGGAGGGCGCTCTCATGCAGAAAGTGCAAGACGTCATATAGAAGTAATAATTTACTACATACCAGGAAATCCTTGATATGAACAAAAGCATCCAGCTTTCACTGTATGATCTGAATAAATATGGAATGCCAATCCTGCCATAATTAGAAATAAAGATATGTACAAAGAAATGTAAAAAAAAAAAAAAAAAAAAAA